GGGAAGGAGGAGGGATAAGGGGGGGGGCAGAGAGATTTTTTTTGCTCATTATTTATTTTTTTTAAATAAATGCTTTTAAGTGGTTTTAGGTTCTTTTGAATAAATAATAATAATTTAAAAAAAAAGGTGCACATCTTGCTGCTGTAGAGTTCTCAGAGGGTTAATTTCTTTATAAATATATACATATATCTCACAGTAAATATTTGTATAAAAACAAAAGAGAAATAGAGATGTCTTTAAGTAAATTATTGCTTTTAAAGAACCTTCTATGATTGTACAGTGTTACCTGGGAGAATAGAATAATATATACAGATGTATTTTTAAATTGCTGCGTAGGAGGTTGTGAACTGGGCGGGGGAGTGCCCATGGCTGGCACAGCAAGGGGGAGGGGGTTGGACCCTCCCCAGCCCCTATTCACACCCCCCATTCCCCAAACCCCGTAGTGAGGATCTAGCTCTGGAGAGTTGTCGTATATATATAGTATAGTGCTCGTCCTGGCCAGGGACCACACTGGTATATAGTGTATAAATATTATTTTTGCCTACCTGTGAGTGCTCTGAGTTACTGGGTTTTTTTGTTGTTTTTTTTTTTTTTTTTTTTTTTTGTCCCCTGCCATCAGGGAGTGTTGGGAAGGCTGCCTGGGGTCAGTTTTGGTCAATTGTCAAAGAAAAGGGGTGGGGAAGAAAGGGAAAAAGAAGTTTAAAAAGCCAAGAAGTGGCTTTTGTGGTGCTTGGGTTCTCCAGAGGTTCTGGAAATGGAGAGGGATGCTCTCAGGGTGTGGGGTTTGGTGTTGGTCATGGCAGGGATGGAGCAAGATCCTGGCAGGAAGGGGCTTGGAGCTGAGCAAGGAGGGGGGGATGACACATCCCCCAAAAGAGCCTCTGGTCATTTCTTCCATCTATGGAATTAACTCCAGCATTACACTTGATCTTTGGAGGATGGGAAGGGTTCCAGAAAGGAAAGAGTCACTAATCCTCTTGGCCAGCATTCTGCAGGGATTGCCCTCAGCTCAGGGAAGCCCTGGTCAGGGACCAGGAGGCTGGACCCATTGCTGCTCCCACCTGGCTTCACCCCAAAAATTATGCCCCAGTGAGAGCAGAAAGTGGCCACATCCCCACACCCCAAACCCACCGGCTGCAAAGAGCCCCCTCTGTCCCTGCAAGGCACAAGAAGAGCAACTTCTGTCGCCAAGGGGTGTCACACGTCCCCGCTCGGCCGGGCAGGGGGTCCCCAGGGCCCTCGGGACGAGCCTTAGCTTCTCATCCCCCAGTTTAGTGCACTTAGTCTTTTAGGGCTGGGACAATCACTTAGTGCTTAACCTTTGCGATTCGGTGCCTGCTTGACCTTCCAACCTTTTCTAGGAGATGAATTCAGAGCCACCTTTTCTATCTTTAATAAGGCAGAACAAATATGTTTTATTTTTAAACCCTTCTGCTCTTTCTTTTCCCCTCGTGCTGACAACCAAATGAGTCCCCTGTGTGTGTGTCCCTCTGTTTCTTGCACGCTGAAATGAGACTGTGGAATCTGGAACCTGCTCTCCCACCCCCCCCCAATTCAGGGATGCTGCCACGGGGGGGTCGGTGCAGGGCAGGGTCCAACCACTTTAGGAGCAGGGAGGGGGACATGGGACAGTGTCCCACCTCATGCCACCCGTCACCTTGCTGAGCCCCAGTGCCCACCAGCTGCACACATCTGTCCTGCTGCCCCTTTCCCAGGGAGCACCATCTGTCCTCCATCCCACCACTCCCCAAAACACACATCCAGTGCTCCCCCAGGCTTGGCCCCACGTGGTTTTGGGGACCAAGACCTGGCACCAGTTCACAGGGCCAGGTTGGCAACTGGGAGCACTGGTTTCCCAGGGGTAAAGGGCCAAGTCCGTTTGCTGGGACGATGGTGACATGCAGGGACAGGGAAGCTGATGGATCCAATGGGAATGTCTGTACCTTTTCCACCTCCGGTGTCTCTCTGTCTCATTGCACATATATTTGAGATATATGTGACAATGTATATATATATTTGTAAAATGTATTTCAGATGACAAAACTGGCCAATTTTCTGTTGTTTTAAATATATTATATATATTATATATAAGAGTCTCCAAAAGATATAAATAGACTAGAGAAAATAATATAAATATGTAATAAATGTATTTTGATCTATTTAAAATATCTCGTGTGGTGCTGTATGTTTTAAAGCTCATAGGGAAGTGTTTGCCTGGAGAAAACTTCAGCTGTGGTTTGGAGGCTGTCACTTGTCACACATATTTGTGTGCAGCAAATTGGACTGGGGGCAGTGGGACAAATACAGATGTTTTTCAGAGACTTTTAGCAAATACCTGTCCTGCTGCCTCTAGGAAGGAGCAGAAAACCCAAATCTG